CGTCGAGAACAAACGGCACGGCGACATCTTGAGGATGATGAGGATGATGATGACGAAGATGACGACGGCGACAACGACGACGATGATGATGATGCTGATGATGCTGATGTTGGTGATGATGATGGTGATGACGGTGGTGGTGATGATGCTGCTGCTGATGCTGATGCTGCTGATGATGGTGAAAATGATGCTGATGTTGATGAGGATGATTCTGGTACTGGTGATGATGATGCTGGCGATGGTAATGGTGATGCTGCTGAGATGATGTCGATGCTATAAGGTTGATTGTGATGCTGATGATGTTCATGCAGATGACGGTGATGATGCTGAGGATGACGAGTTTTAACATGATGTTGATGATGATGCTGATGTTGATGATGAGGATGAGGATGAGCATGCTTTTGATTATGGTTATGGTTATGATTATGATTATGGTGGTGAGAATGACGATGGTGATGGTGATGGCGATGGTGATGTGAACGCTTATGGCGATGGCTTCGTTGATGAGGGTGGTTTGTGATAATGGTGGTGGTGGTGATGCTGATGGTGGTGGCAACGATGATGGGATGATGTGAGACTGATGGGACCATGACGATGAGGGTACTGAGGATGAGGGTGAGGATGCTGGTGAGGATGATGACGATGCTGATGGCAACGACGATGCTGAGAGTGGCTGCAGACTGTCCGAGGCCAACTTCCTGCCCGAGCTGCGCGTGGCCGGCGTGGAGATCGTCTTCGACTCTCGGACGCGCGAGGCTCCGGGGCGGAAGAGGTGTAGCGAGAAGGCAGCGCATGGTCAGTCAGCACGGGGAGCAAGAACGATCCATTTTCCAATGCTGCCCTTAAGACGGGCATGTCCCTCTACAGGAGGGATGTTCAAAACTGGTCAGAAGTAGTTTGGGGACGATTTGTTTGATCATTCCTGTCTGTTTTTGAATTGTTCGCTTATGTTTCTTCCAGAATCCGCCTGTAGGTGGACATGCCCGACCTAAGGCCATCCTTGCCCCTTCGGCCCATTCTTGGTGACGTTCACTGGCTAGCCCCGTGCGAAGACTCGCCAGCATGGCCCCCCAAAGGCCCTTGCAACCCTGCCGCGCAGCCCTGGTGTGCGACTTGCATGTGCCCCCCATGGCCTCGTGTTCGCCTTGCTGGGCCTCCAGGGAGGCCCTCGTCGCCACGCGTGGATGCGCTTCGGCATTCTGGGCAGAACGCGCCCCAGGAGAGGTCCGCCCACCCCAGGTGCACGACTGCTGCAGATCCTGTCCCTGCATCTCGGCCTCCGGGGCCCTCTGTTGGGACCTGGAGCCATGCACCCAAAAACGGGTCCAGGAGACGCCCGTGGAGTAACAGTGTTTGGATGACCGCGGGGGCCGCTACGGGAACGGGGGGGGGTGAGTAGATGCCAAGTGTGAACTATACCCGGCCAAGCCTAGCGTGGAAGTCGGTTACGAATTCCCTCAGTGACTTAACAGGGCTGGGTACTTCTGCAAGTGGGCTCCGCCCACTTCGCCCAGATCTATGCTCCCCGCAAGCAGCTTATAGGGCACTGGCAACCCATTCATAGGCTAGGTTAGGCCAGATATAACTTACCTTAGCATCCACTGAAACCTTCTCCTATTCTCTAAAGCCCCCGCTGTCATCCAAGTAGGCCTCCCAGATGGGGTCCGACTAGATGGGGCCAGAGGATCGCGCCGCATCATCCGATGCAGCGAGGCCGCGGCTTGATGTGGAGCCCGATTTTCTCCACGCTGACGGCGCCGATGCATCGTTGACGTCGCCGGTGCATCGTCGACGAGGAACGAGTGCTTGTGACGATCTTGGAACTTCTCTCGTGGGTCAGGAGCTTCTTGGATGCCGTTGAGGGGCTCGCGGGATGCCTCTTAGGAGCCTCCTGCAGGGCCTTTGGGGGCATCTGGGGGCCCTTTGGGCCTTCTCTGGGGGCTTCCTGTGGGTCCTTTTGGGCCTTCTTGGGGACCTCTCTGGGGGGCCTCTTCTGAGCCTCCTGGGATGCCTCTTAGGGGCCTCTCTGGGGGGCCTTTTGGGCCTTCTTGGGGGCCTCCTGGGGGCTTGGGGGCCTCTTGGGAGCGTTTGGGCCTCTCGTGGGCGCCTGGACATGTTACTCCCAACGATAACGACGGCGACGACGACGACGGCGACGACTGCGACCAAGACGACGACTACGACGACGACGACGACGACGACGGAGACGAAGACGACGACGACGACGACGACGACGACGACGACGACGACGAAGACGACGACGACGACGACGACGACGACGACGACCACGACGACGACGACGACGACGACGACGACGACGACGACGACGACGACGACGACGACGACGACGACGACGACTACGACGACTACGACGACGACGACGACGACGACGACAACGGCGGCGGCGGCGGCGGCGGCGGCGGCGGCGGCGGCGTCCCCGGAGGTGCTCCGGGGCGTCACGCTGCAGGAGGCCGAGCGGAGCCTGGACCCGCGGCGCGCGGGCCCCGCCGCCGTGGGGGCGCCGGGGGCGGAGGAGGCGGAGCGGGTGAGGCCCGAGGGGGGAAGGAGCGGCATGCGGGCGGGGCCCCCGGGGGGGGCGGCCGAGAGGGGGGCCAAGCCTCGGGGGCGGAAAAGAGGGGGGTGATGACTAGGGGGGGTGGATATCATGGCGGGGGTCATGATCTTGCCGCAGATTTCATGGCGCTTCTTCTTATTTCATTACGTCCCTGGCCCCCCCCGCTGGGCGGCGCACATGCCGCCGGTCATGATTTGCACCCCCCCCTCTTGGACACCCCCCTCTTGGCCGCTCCCGAAAGCCAGGAGGCGCAAGGACAGCTGGGGAGATGTCTTGGCCCCCGCCATGAGGTCCCCCCCCCTCTAGTCTCAGGCCGGGCATGTCCTCCTACGGGCGGCTCGTGGGAAGAAAAAGAAAAGATAGCCACACAGAAGTAAAAGAAAGGGCAGGAGAGCACGAAACAGAAACGTCACCAGACGTTTCCTCCTCTGATAAGAGGAGAAGAACAAACGCCATAAACTTAAACTTTCGGCGCTCCGCACGGATTTTTGGGATCCGCGTCATGGACAAAAATCACGGCGTCGGAGTCTTGGGGGAGGCCCGCAAGAGTTTTGCACAGGCAAATACAAGGTGGGGGGGGGGTCGGTAGCAAATCATGGGAGCCTACTATACGAGTTGAGTTCCGCCTTTAGCGTCGATTAGCGTCGACTGGCGTCCGTCAGCCAGCGTCTAGGAGCCGATGAGATAGCGCCGATTTGGCGCTGGCTAGCGCCGATTTGGCGTCGATCTAGCGCCAATTCGCGTCGATGTAGCGTCGACTAGCGTCGATACGCAAGAGCCGACAAGATGGTACGGGAGGCTCCCGCGAGTTGCCACCGAAGGGGGGAGGGGCGGGCCACGGTGGGGGTTCACGATGGGCCACCGGTGTCGGGGGCCCCGGCTCCCTCCAGGGGGACGTCAGGAGCAGAATCTGGGGGGCGGCCAGGCGGGGGGTGATATGACTAGGGTTAGTTAAGTCGGGCATGCCCCGCTATACAGGAGGAGTGCACTCGAGGACGGTTAACGAGCCGGATCGAGGGAGCAACAGTCCGGTGACGTTTGTTCGTGCTGTTCTGACTAGTTCTGATTCTGGTTTGGCTCTTGCTTATTTTTCTTCCCAGATCCGCCTGCACGAGGACATGCCCGACCTAAGACTAGGGGGGGATCCCCTGGCCGGAGGCCAAGATCTCCCCAGATTTCATGGCGCCTCTTCGTGTTCCAATACGTCCCCAGCCTCCCTCCCCTTTGGGCCGCGCACGTTGCCGCCGTCCATGATTTGCGCCCCCCCTCCTGGACGCCCCCCTCTTGGCCGCTCCCGAGAACGGAGCCCTTGCAGGCACGCTGTTTCGGGAACTTTCGCCGGTCCGCGCAGGATCTGCGCCGGGCCCCCCAAGGCGGCGTCCGGCGTCGACCCCGGCGCGCTCCGCGCGCCAGGGGGGACGGGGGGGGGGGGGCAGCGCCGACCCAAGACGTCCGCGCGGACCTCCGAAGGTGTGCGTCTAAGCATGCCGCTCGTTCTGCCTCCAGAGGCGCACGCACACGTGCATCGCCACGGAGGCGGGGGTAACCAAAAGCTACCAGTACCGCCACTCCCCCGGACCGTTTCTGGGGTGCGCTCTGACCAGGATCTTGAAGCGAATCTAGCCGCGGTGACGAGGGCCATGCCCCCCAACAGGAGACTTCGAGGCCGGGGTAGTGGTATCGGTACCTTCTCCGAGATCTGACGTTGCGAAGAAATGCCGCATTGCAAACAAGTCATGGCCAAAGCCCCGGACCCCAGATCCCTGTGGCACTCTCGAGCCGGACCCACATGAGAAATCAGACATGTCGATATGTGAGGGCCCTGGGGCCCGACATTGGGCGACAGCGCCCGGCGTGAAAACGCTGCGACGCCCAGGTCTCAGGAGGGGACAAAAACACGCAGACACAACTCATCGTCGATCCCCCCACAAAATATGGGACAGTATGGGGAAACAGGGGGGCAGACGAAGGCCCAGAACATGGGAACCTATACATATGTATATGTACATATATTTATATACATATATATATGTATATGCATGTATATGTAAATGTTTATGTATATGTATATGTATATGTATATGCATATGCATATGCATATGCATATATATATATATATATATATATATATATGGGAGGGGGGGAATCCTGGGCTACGCGCGTCTATGTATTACTGTGTGTCCCTGGGCCCCATCGAAGGTCTCAGGGCCCCCCTCCTCCGAGAGGCCGAGGCGGCCGGCTTCGAGGCGCGCGTGCGCCGCCTGATGCTCGACGAGCCCGCGGCGCGCCGCCGCCTGGGCGCGGCGGCGCGGCGGCAGGCCGCCGCGCACGTGGAGGGCCGCCGCGGCGGGCTGCGGCGCACGCTGGCCGAGCTCGCGGCGGCCGCGGCCCCCGCGGCGTAGGCTGCAGGTCGGGCGTGTGCTCCAGCCGCGCGCAGAGGGGGGCGGGGGGAGGGGGGAGGGCTTCTTAGACGGCGCGGCCCTTATCTATAGAGGTAAGGCCGGCGCCTTCTAAGAGGCAGCCTCCTTCTAGGAAGCCCTCCCCCCTCCCCGCACCCCCTTGTGCGCGCCGCCAAGTCCTCCCGCAGGCAGGGTCTGGGAGCGACCGGCTTCAGCCACGCCCCGAGGGGGGGAGGGCGTCTCAGGAGCACCCTTCTTTCTATCTATCATGGCGCCAGCATCTCAGAGCGGATCTCGTTCGGAAAGCTATGAGATGGGCCCGGAGGAGTGTCCTTGAACATGTCGTTCCGGATTTCGAGGTGAGTTGCGTGCGGATGTTTTGGCCAGGGATGAAGACTAAGCAAACATCCACGGGAAGTTCACTCCGTTTTTCGCGCACCGTTCCAGGGCTTCGCACTGCCATGAAAGCCGCGCAAAGATCAGCCAGGGCACGTCTGCAAGGCCGGTGCAGTGACTTCCGAGAAGCCCTCCCCCCTCCTGTCCCCCCCCCTGTGCGCGCCGCCGAGCACGCCGCAGCCCGGGCGCGGGCCGCGGGCCGCGGCCGCCCACACGCGCCCGCGGCCGCGCTTGCGCGGCGCGCTCGGCCCCGGCCCGAGGACCCGGCGGCGTAGGGCTCGCGGCCCGTCGCGGCCGGCCTCGCTCCTGGCGCGAAATGTCTTGCAGTGGGGCCCCTCCCCGTCGTCGACTGCTTGCCGCGGAGGCGGGGGAGTGCTGCTGCCATCCCGCCCTTCTCGCATGTGCCAAGCTGTGTGCACGACCATCTTGCCAGAGACGGAACTCGAAGCGACCTTCACGTGATGCTCGAAGACTGGGGGCGCACAACTTCTGCCCCCCCCTCAGTGGGTCCTGGAAACGACAGGGCCGTTTCTGTTCACCGGTTCCGTTGTGCCGTTTTTTGCCGCTTCCGTTGCCATATGTTTGCCGGTTCGGTCGATGTTTTTGTTCCCGTTTCAGCTCTGGTTCCACGTCTAGAGCCGTTTTTGTTTACCGTTTACCGTTTGGTTTTCTGGATGGTTCTTGGGAGATAGCTTGAACTACAGGCGTCTGAGAGGCAGACACCATCCGACAGGAAATGATCAGAAGATCTAGTCTCAAGTATCGAGATGCCCGATCTGGGAGCCGGCGGTAGACCGTCAGTCCTCCTCCTCCGTCCTCCTCCCTCCCTCCCTCCCTCCCTCCCTCCCTCCCTCCCTCCTCCTCCTCCTCCTCCTCTCCTCCTCCTCCCTCCTCCTCCTCCTCCCCTCCCTCCTCCCCCTCCTCTTCCTCCTCCTCCCCTCCTCCTCCTCCTCCTCCTCCGCCTCCTCCTCCTCCTCCTCCTCCTCCTCCTCCTCCTCCTTCTCTTCCTCCTCCTCCTCCCTCCTCCTCCTCTCTCCTCCTCCTGCTCCTCCTCCTCCTCCTCCTCCTCCTCCTCCTCCTCCTCCTCCGCCTCCTCCTCCTCCTCCTTCCTCCTCCTCCTTCTCCTCCTCCTCCTCCGCCCTCCTCCTCCTCCTCCTCCGCCTCCTCCTCCCTCCTCCTCCTCCTCCTCCTCCTCCTCCTCCTCCTCCTCCTCCTCCTCCCCTCCTCCTCCTCCTCCCTCCTCCCTCCTCCTCCTCCTCCTCCTCCTCCTCCTCCTCCTCCTCCTCCTCCTCCTCCTCCTCCTCCCCCTCCTCCTCCGTAGCCATTTTGGCTCAAGCCGCGTGCGGGCCCGCTGGCCCAAACGAGCTTAGGCATCATGGCGCGGGCGGCGTTGCCCCCAGGTTGCGATTCCTGTGCTGGAGCACCGGCGCGGCGATCCAGAGCTGCGCGGACAGCGGCACGGCGGCGCGCGCTGGAGTCCGTCGACGCGGGCTTCTCGGCGGCCAAGGCCGAGCTGCAGATGAAGGAGGTCGAGCTGCGAGAGGTGGCAGCTGCGCTTGAGCTCACAGTTGGGGATTCTGTGACGGCTGACCTTGTTCGGGCTTTGCTGCCAGCGCTCTGCGCGCTGGTCCGCGGCGAGACGCCCGATTGGTTGGCTGTTCTTCGGCGGAACGTCGCGCTCCACGCGGAGGCGCCCGCGGTCGCCTCCATTGCATCGGCGGGCCCCGCTGCGCTTCGCAAGGCGCAGAAAGGCCCTCGGCTGGGCCACGGGAGGGGCCGCCGCTGCGCCCCGCAGCCTGGGGCACGGACGCCGCTGCGTTCGACCGCCCAGCCTTTCTGCCCCGCTGCTGTGGCCGACCCCGTCGGCCTGCCGCTGGGCGCGCTGGGGGTGCAGGATGAGGAGCCCGTCGAGGAGGTAGGCAACGGCACCGAGAGCATCGCGGAGGTGCACTTCGTCACCATCGAGGGCCAGTGCGAGGGGGCCGAGACGGTCCCGCACACGCCGCTGGCCGGTGGGATGGCGGGGCCAGAGCCGCTGGATGTCAAGGACAAGGTCGCCGCGCTGGAGGGCCTTCTCCTTGGCGCCACGGAGCGGCTGAACACGGTCGCGCTCGCGATCGTCACCGCGCAGTACGACGGCACAGAGGTGGATCAGGCGACGCACGACGGGCTCGCTGCTGCCGCCGACCACCTCGTCCTTCTCGAGGGTCAGCTGGCCGCCGCCACTGAGGAGGCCAAGGCGGGCTTCGAGGGCGGCGACCACTGCTTTGGGCAGGTGCCGATGGCCGAGTACGACCCTGGCGTCGAGCACGACATCGTCGGCGAGCTTTTCCTCGAGGAGGGCTCCGAGGTCGACGAGGAGGCCGAGCACGGCATCGCCGACGGCGACGGCGGCGGAGTGGTTGGCTGTGCTGGTGCCGCCGACCGCCGCCCTCCTGGGCCATGGGCGGACAGGTTCGTTTTCGGCCCCGAGGGCCTCATGGCCGCTGCGGCCACGCGATGTGCGGCGGACGGCTTCGGTGGGGAGCTCGATGACGCCGACGGCGGGAGCGGCGGGCCGCAGTACGACGGTCCCCAGGCCGCTGAGGCCGCTCGCGCCCGCGACTGCGCCCGGCTCTTCGCCCCCCTCGCGGCGGAGATCGACCCCGCCTTCGGCCTGGAGGCGAACGCCTGGGGCGCAGGTCGGCGTGAGCAGAACCTGGCACCTCCAGGTTCGGCCTACGCTTAGGAAGGATCCTGAGCGGGTCCCGAATTCAGTTGCACGACCTTTTCAGGTCTAGTCTAGCCTCCTCCTCCTCCTCCTCCTCCTCCTCCTCCTCCTCCTCCTACTGCTCCGCTCTCCTCCTCCTCCTCATCATCATCCTCCTCCTCCTGCTCCCTCCTCCTCCTGCTTCTCCGCC